GGAATAAAGTCATTATGTCTAAAGACATTTTGAAAGAGACTAGACATGCCTCAGAGAACTTCCCTGTTGTTCCATTTAAAATAATTCTCCTCCGTCCTGACCTTCCAATTTGCATTTAATTATGAATCAAAACTGTTTTAGAGACTCTCACTTTCCTCCCAAGGATGCCACTTACAAAGTAACCATCAGTAACTACTTGAAATGTGTGCTTCAGCCCGCCAAAACTTTGTCGGAATCTGTATTCTTCTTTATTCATTAGCTCTTTGGCGGGGCTGACACCCAGTTTCCAAATAAATCTGCCATCTCTTTCTGACTTACGAATGGCTGACCTTAGCATTTTTGTTTCTAGGCAGCTTTTCTTAAATTATCCAGTCTATCTACTGCCTCTGGGAATTTACCGTTCTTTACTAATTACTTTGTAGGCTGCTGTGTAGCTGAGTGTCTGTCTCCAGTAAGTCTTCCTCAAGTTCATGTCTCTTCCTTCCTCATTTATCCTCACTATTCCTAGCTTTCAAGCTATTCTATTCAAATAATTCCTCTCCCTCACTAACTTCCATGCTCAAGTTTCATTGTGTATCAAAACTGTGTTTGAAACATTCTGACCTTCCACCCTAGAATGCCACATAGCAACTGTCAGCTATTATTTGAAATATGTACCTGAGCCCCCCAAAATTTTCTCAGAATCACTCTTTCTAATACAGTATGCCCAAGTTTTAAGTTTTACATCAAACAATAAGGAATAATAAGGCATCAAAAATGAGGTTACTATCTATTTATGAACATATTGCTATAATCTCAAAACTTGTGAAATTAATGCAAGAAGAATCTGAGCTCGAGGCAAGCCTGAACTGCACGGTAAGATGCTACCTATCCTGGCGGGACATAAAATCAGAGAGCCACATGAGGGAGCTGAGGCTTAGAGAGGAAAATGGAAACTTAACGAAATGCAGAGTAGAATGGCATTAGTATGTGAACTTCATGGTTCCTGTGAAGGAATGAGAACCTGCATCAGGTGTAAGAGCATCATTCTCTCCATGAGAGAGTGGAGAAGGGTATGAGAGTAGGGAGGTAGGACCGCAGCATTATTGCCCTGACTTGTATTGCTGCTTCTCTGACAATCACACAGCTACTGCCCCTTCCCATGGCACTTTCTTCATCATTTTCAGGCTCAAGAATCTCGTGCTCCATGGATCGAACTACCGTCTAAGCCACCTTGAAAAGTCTGAGCTCAAGCCTTAGCAACATGATACAAATTCTGATGTCAGGTAAGGGTCTTGTTAAAGGGGAACCTGTAACACAAGTAATAAAACTCAAGGGACAGATACTAGGCTTCAACCTGAAGATCAGAAAAGCAAAGCAATTAGCACTACCTTTAACCTCTACCCCAGACTGAAATGGGCAAGGGCCTGCATCCACGAATCCTGAAGACTCCACAGTCCACCGAGTTCCTGTCTCTTCCCCTTCATATTCTTCTCTCTGACTTGTCATATCGTTCCTGCCTCCACCTCCTTAGTGCTGGGATCAATTTTGTGTGTGTTCTGATTCTCATTTAGACAGATTCTATCTTGAGTAGCCCAGGGAGGCTGTGAACTAACAAAGATCCATTTGCCTCTGTCTCCCAAATCCTTGGATTAAAGATGTATGCCACCATTCCCTTACTTGTATATCTGACTAGTATGGCAGCTTGCACTCTGATCTTCAGGAAAACTTTATTTATTAAAACACAAATAGTATACCATTATAGAAGCGTGAAAAGTCTGGATTCAGAACCAAATGTATCTGAGCAGGCAGCTATGCTAGGACTTCTAATCCACATAGATGGAGGTTCTTCACAGGTGAGCCTCCACCTATGAGGGTCCTGCAACTAAAATGAACACTCAGAAGACTGGTGGAGGAATATGAAGAGTCACTGGCTAGAAATGATGTCTCTGGGCTCTGCAGTGCTGAAGCTGCATTTGACACATGAAGAAACAGGAACCCATGGGGGTTAGCAGTGAGCCTTGCCCAAATGTCACCCAGAGTTCAGCTCAACATATGAGTGGGTTTTGAAATATCGGGGGTATTACAGCTCCAGAAGTTCTAAGAAGGTTTCTTCCTTTAGATGGAACCAAGGAGAGGTTAGGCTCCTGCCACGGCTTCAGCCTGACTTCCCATATTTCAACATATACAGCCCACACCCTTGTCTCTTCCTCTTTACAAACATGAAAGAGGCCAACTCTTTCAAGTGAACAAGGTCTGGAGAGAGATGTTAACTTGTCCTGGCTCACAGCACATAAAGATACATGCAGGAAAAGAATCTAGAGCAATAAAGGCCATTCTCCACACTTATCCTGCTACTACTCTGTGAAAGTCCTGCTCATATCTAAACTTTTCTCTCCCTTCAAAGTCAGTTCTTCCTTCCCCACAATAAGCTTTGAAGACTACATTGTCAAAAGCCATCACTCCTTCCATCTCACACCAGTAATAATGGCAATGATGGAAAACATAGGCTGGAGAGGACGTGGGGTCAAGGGAACACTCCTGCATTGCTGGTGGGAGGGCAAGCTGGTACAGCCTCTTTGGATAGCAGTAGGATGACTTCTCAGAAAGTTAGGAAACAAACTTCCTCAAGACCCAGCAATAACACTTTTGGGTATATATTCAAGGGAACATCAATCATACCAAAAGTACATTGCACAACTATGTTCATAACATAGCCAGAACCTGGAAACAACCTAAATGCCCCTCTCCTAAAGAATGCATAAGGAAAATGTGGTACATTTACACAATGGAGTACTACATAGCTGAAAAAAATGACATCTTTAAATTTGTGGGCAAATGGATAGATGTAGAAAAGTTCATATTTCGTGAGGTAACCCAGACCCAGATAAACAAATATCATATGTACTCATTCATAAGTGACTATTAGACATAAAGCAAAGAAAAAACACCATACAATTCACAATCCCAGAGAACCTAGACAACAAAGAGTACCCGAAGTGAGACATACATAAATCTAATCTACTTGAGAAGTAGAATATGACAAGATTTCCTGAGTAAATTGGGAGCATGGAGACCATGAGAGAGAGGAGAAAGAGAGGGGAGAAGAAGAGAGGGGGTGGAGAAAATTATATAGCTCAATAAAGGCATTTTAAAAAATGCCATCAGCCCTAGTTGTCACCTTGGCATCATTTAATGTCGGTCTTATAAAAGACCATTCCAGAAATTATGTCATATTTTCATTATCTGAGCATTGATGTTGCTCACCCTTTGTTCCACTACCACCTCTTCAACTGGTACAGGATTACATTTTCCGGCTGCACACAAGAAGGCTCTTGCACATGGGGCTTAGGGAAGATCCCACTGATCATATTGCATCACATTAGACTGTTCGTGTCTTTCTTGTCACAAAGCTTCCTCCTATGCTAACAACAGGTTCCTTCTCTCACTTCTTTCCCTCACTATTCCCACCTTCCTACATGTTCATTAAAACAGTTCCACTACTTCCCTGATGTCCATGCTCATTCTCATTGTGTATCAAAACAGTGTTTTGAAGAATCTCACCTTCCTCCCTAAGATGCCACTTAGTAACTGTCAGTTTTTATTTGAAATATGTACCTGAGTCCCCATGAATTCTCTCAGAATTGCTCTGTCTTATGGATCATATACCAGCCTTGAAGTTTTAGATCAAACATAGGGGAATTACAGGCATCAAAATTAAGACTACTAACTGGCCCTGAACATATTCCTATAATCCCAGAATGTATGAAATTAATGCAGGAAGAATCTGAGCTTGAGGCAAGCCTGAACCACACAGTAAGATACTATCTATCCCTGTGCAACATGAAGTCAGAGGCCCACATAAGGAAGCTGAAGTTCAGAGAGGAATGGAGATTCACACGAAGTAACAGGGTAGACCAGCATTGGTGTATGAACTTCATGGCCTCTGTGTAGGAACATTTCCCTGAAGCAGGTGTAAGAGCATCATTCTCTCCATGAGAGAGTGGAAAAATTAAGAGGGTAAGCAGGTAGGACCCCGGCACTGCTACCCTGACTCCAACTGCTGTTTCTTGGACAATCACACCAATACTGTTCTTTCCATGCATCTTTCTTCATCTTTCAGGCTCAAGAAAAACACTCCAAGTGTCCTTCCAGGACTTCTTAGAACTACTGATCTCAGACCTTGGAAATCTGAGACAAATTCTGACGTCAGGTAAGGGACTTGCTATTGAGAATCTGATGACTCTGGATTTAGAACCAAAGTAAGCTGAGCAATCATCTGGGAATGCGACTTATAGCCCACATAGATGGTGGTTCTTCAAAGGCTTGCCTCTCCCTGTATGGAGATCTTGGGAGTCAATGGTCAAAGGAACTATGGTAAAATGTTATGCATCCCAGACTAGAAATAATGCCTCTGAGATCTGAAGTGCAGAATTTGAAGAAACTAGAACTCATGGGGGTCATCAGTGAGCCTAGCCCAACTGTCACCCAGAGTTCGCTTAAAGTATGAGTGTGTTCTGAAATCTCATGGGTGGGTGCTGTAACTCCAGAAGTTCTAAGACGGTCTGTTCCTGTAGATGGCCTCAAGGAGAGGGCCGGCTGCTGTCTCAGCTCCAGCCTGACTTCCCTTATTTCAGCTTATGCAGGCAACACCCTTGCCTCTTTCTGTTCTCAAACATCAAAGTAGCCACTTCCTTCCAGTGCAAAAGTTCTAGAGAGAGAGGGTAACGTGTACAAGTTTACAGCCTATAATGACAAACAGAAGAATGGAATCTAGACCAATGTGAGCCTGGGG